TGTACTATTGCTACTAGTGGCTTGTGCATGGATTTGCCGAACAAGTACTGCATTGCGAGGTGGCTTTGGAGGTGCGGTCGGTTGAGAATGTGTGTCATGCATGCGCCATACACCGCCGTGGCGACCCACGTCCACGGCATACGCTTGGCTAGCGACAATTTTGTCACATATCGTCGCCAAACTCGGCTAGAGGTGGCCTGTAATTGCAGCGAAACGAGCGTCCAACAGGCTATGGCTTTGAGCACACTGGCGCGTCGTTTTCGAGGTTCCACTTGCAGCATTAGGTAGGGCAACATGGACGCCACCAACGTCGTTAGTTTGTGGCGTGTCTGAGGTAGCGAGCACGAGAGCAGGAGCGGCGCCATGTTGGCCCAAGTGAGGAACACCACCGACCACCCCACGTTGTTGGCCAGTGCAGGCCACTGGACACTCGTTTGTTTCCTGGCTACGAAAACACTCGCGGCAAGCGATAGACATTGCAATGGTACAAACACTTGTGTGCTTCGACAGAGCAGATTAAGTGTGCCTGTGATGGCAAACTGGCGGCATGAGCGGTCGGGGTGCATGGTGGCGCACCGGGTCAGCTCGTTCGTGTGGATGCTGCGTCGAAAGCGGTCCAGATGGGCCACTGGGATGTTGATCTGGTAGTCGAGCGTTCGCACAGTCGACGGAGGCAGCCATTCGGCGTGCACGAGGCGTACCCGACTCGCATCGTCGTCCCACGTCCCAAGCGCGAGCAGGTGCTCCACGGGCGCAGGGAGGCAACGGTGGTCCCAGTACGTTTGGAGCAGCACTTCCAAAATCCCGTCGCCGCCGCCGCCGCCAGCTTGCTGTTGCCGGACCTGCGCGCGTGGTTTAGCACTCGAAACACACCCGTGGCCACTCCAAGTGCGACGAAGATGGAGGAAGGTGCGGTCAGCCAACGAGCACGAACGCTCGACAAGATGGTTCCAACCAACAGCGTGCCGCACGTGACAGGCAGCGACCTCGTGACAGCGGAATTCATCGCAAAAGTGAAACCACCACCGAATGGGGCAATATAGTGGTGGAACTACATTAACAGCATGATACACACACCACGGTACCTCACTTGCTGTTTCTATGCAGAATTGCCATCGGGTTTGGCCCAATCTTTGACATAGGTCAAATTGGTTAGATCTGATTGGTTAGTCCATTACGAACCATTCATTAACATGACGAAGCATCAACTACAGGTGGGGTTTTGTGTGTCAAGTTGTTGGAGCATACTCCGTATATTATTAATATTATTACATACAGTAATAGACCACCAACGATGCGTGCGGCTACCGATATACAGTAGTATACTAGTAGTCGCCCATGTCGTCGTCACCATCTCCCACTTGAAGCATACTTCCTAACGTTACGAATTACTACTACGTAGTAGTACTCCATAGTGGGCCACGATTTTGTCGGGGACAGGGCGTCTTCGAGGCAGAAATAGACTGTGGTTGTCCAGCCAGCGCAGCCAGTCACGGTGGAATAAAAGGGCATAGGGGCAACTTCTTGCCCTGGTGGTGGATTTGCAGTTGGGGATATGAGCTGAAGGTCACGGGATAGTATCCCAGTACAGTATACTGTACGTGGCAGGACGGTTGAGCTTTATCGAGCGAGGTGAGGTATTTGGAGCTACAAGCAACGGTTTCGAAACAATGAGATTTTACTGTTAACATGAGCAGCAACACCCCAAGTGAAGACCTTCGGGATGCCGTGTGCGACGGAGTGACGGATCGCATCGCATCGTTGATTGAAAGCGGCACCGACGTCAACTTTATCGACGAAGACTCTGGGTGGGCTTTTTTGCTGTGGGCTGTGAAGCCCACCAAGTGGAGGCGCTGGAGCTACTGCTTCGTCATGGCGCCAATGTGATTGTGGGCGATTCGTCGGGGAACACGGCGCTCCACAAGGCGGCGTACTTGGGGTATGGGGACTGCGTGAGTCTGCTGCTCCAGTATGGCGCCGGGGCTAACAATCCGAACAACATGCAGCAGACGCCGCTCGACTTGGCCTCGCTCTTTGACAAGCCAGACATGGTGGCGCTGTTGTCCAGTGTTGTGTCGTAATCATTTGCACTGTACCCCGTACTGCAGTGTAGTCAAGTATCAACATACCAATAGCCACCACAGATTAACATTTGTATCGTAATGTCACGGAAGGATGATACATTGTCGCATTGTTAAAGTGTTTACTCGTTCTTGCACCTCAGGTACAATCGCCACCATGATTTCCCCTCTAGGGTTTGAATTGAAGGCTGAATAAGAACCTTTCTCGCTTGTCATTTACACAATTCGATGCCCCCTATTTCAACCTATGTACCCAACTTACCCATTCGCTTCGACCATTCTACGTGTATTATTGCCTTTTACCCTAATTTGGACTTTTGTGCCGAGTCGCCAAATCTATCGATCGATTCTTGTACTGAATTTTGTATGTAAAAAGGGCTCCTGTGGTGATTGATATCACACTAATTGGATTCGCACACTAATTTGAAGTGTTTGATGGTCTCCTGCAATCTGATTGGCTAAATACTTCTGTCGATTCTTCTGAACATTTGGTTGTGTCGATGCATTCTCCATGTCGCTCCAGTTTAGAATACTAGTAAACACAACCATACTATTTTACAATAATTATCACACTGTTTTACGATACACTAACGTGGAACTGTGTGTGAAGGACATGCAGGGCGTAGATCGCCTTGGCATGAGACGGATCGGCTGCCAACACGGCTGTAAACTAGGTCGATTGATCAACAAAGTCACACATCGTTTGGTGTTTAGTTAGTACCTTGGTCGCGGCCAGCTGTGGATGGCCCAAGTGCCAGTGGGCCAGCCCCGCGTTGTACATGGCTTTGGGGTGGTGGGGGTGCATCTTTTGGGCGATTTCAAACGCCTCCAGCGCCTTAAGGTACTCTCCCTGGCTCAAATACGTCGCGCCGACGTTCACCACCACCGACGCAAACGACACGCCTGCAAAAAAATATTTATAGTTCGTCATACATAGGACGAATAGGGCTAGTATACGCCACAAAACCACATGGTATATATATGTTGTCCCCATAGTACGTGATACAAATACATATGTATATATTTACAACAATGTCGTCGTTCCATCAGGAATATGATGAAATGTGTACAAATGAAATACAAAAAGTAGTCCGACGAATACACACACCAAAGACATGACGTTGGCCGACATATGACACTCCAATACACAACGGGCTAATCGTACACGTTTTCGATTCCAGTGCGCTTTCGTAGGCTTCCCGTGCGGCGTCATAATTGTGCTGGCTGTGGACATGCAGTCCACGGCAAAACGATGCCTGAATCGTCCGCAGAACGTACTCGTCTTGGTCGCGCTGGCCTAGTTGGTCGTGTAGTAGCTCGTCGTCGTCGGGGGTGGTTAGTATTACTAGGGCTGCGGCCGCTTGATGGTGTACAGACGTTTTGAGAATGCGTCGAAAGTACCGCTGCAAGCACTTGGCAGCTCGGTGGTCGCGGAGGGACTCTGGGTTGACTTTGGCTTTGGTGATGAAATCTTTGGGTTTGGTTTCGCCAATCGTATGGTTGTTGTTGTTGGGGCTGGACAAAGACGGTTGAGGCGGGGTTGTTGGCTCGATGGGGTTGGGATAGAGGGGGCTAGTACTATTAGTAGTAGTAATACTAGGCCGACAAGGCCCCCTGGTCGACATCATGCGGCCGTGCAAGGCATCCACGCGCTTGGCCGTGTCCAGAGGCTCGACAAACAGTGGGGACGACCGATACGCCCCCAATGTCGGGGTCGTCACCAGCATCGGGGCCAGCCGTTTCACCGACGTCGCTGGCTTGCGACCTAGTATACCGCCAGGATTGTTATGACGTGGCAAGCTCAGAGACATGGTACACCACTAAGTACACCACTAACGAAGCGCAAAACGCAATGTATGAAAAAAAACTACTATAGCTTTCATTTGAAACACGAGCGACTGATTGCCAAACATGTTGACACCAACAAATAGAGTAAAATGGGCTGGTGGATTCAACCACTCCGTATGGATGTAGGGGGGGTATTGACTGTGAAGCACCACAACGGTCGGTATAAAAGCTACAGTTGTATAAACGCATACATCATATATATATATTATATCATATATATTATATACACGTACGCAAACTGGACTGGCTCGACCATGGCTTGGGGGTCGCGCCGGTAGTAGCCAGGTCAATCGTGAGCTGATCAAACGTCGGGCAACTCTCCGGTCGAAGCAGCAACGGCGTAGCAGCAACGAGTTCATTCTCTTCATTTTCCATCGTATGTTGCTGTGTTCCAGACGAGGCGTTGGTCAGCAACGTCGTGTTGTGGGCCGTCAGCGTGGGCACTTTGGGACTGGAGAGAACGCGTCGAAGTTTCGAATGGGACAGTTCTGGCGTTCGACTGCGCTCGGCCAGCGCCTGCGATTTCGCACTCACCTGCCAACATACAAGTGAATATTCAAGATGGCATCAGCCGCAAACGAGATGGAAATGGCCTAGCAACTTGCTGATCGAGTTAAATAATACCAATTGAAACGGCTCTAGAGGACTCGCGCGATGCTTGTGACAACTGCCTTCCCCTGTCACAGGAGTCCACAACGTCGTCGTGGCCGGCCGATTCGACGCGGCGTACTCGTTGTTGAAGAACGCAATTTCAAACCCCGCCGGTTTGCCAGCAACTCGGCCTGTGGGCACGGCCGTGGTTCTAATAGAAATACGTGGCTGAGAGATTATTGACGTCGTGTGTACGTTGTACCGCAACGTCTGGAGCAATGACGTCGTGTATTGCTGCAACCGGTCTTCGGTCGGATGCAGCGCCATGGTCTTGGCAATCAACGCCCCAGCGGATTCCTAAAATATTTTCAAAAATAAAAGTTACAACGAATAAAATTATATTCATTGATATATACTAGTATATATATATTTGTATTTACCCGAACCAACACTTCGGCATGTTCCACGGCCAACTTGGCGAGTAGCATCATCACGTGCATGATGTCTGTCTACATAGTTATTCACAAGCGTCATTCGTATACACGAGTGTATATAGATAGATAGATAGATAGATAGATATATACATCGGAAAGGCCCAGAAAAGTAGAGATAGTGTAGGGCTTACTAGAAGGACCGCGTGGAAACGAAATTCACGCACGAGTTTCAACAGAAAAGTAATAATATCGTGGGTCATGAGTTTGTGGAGTGTGAAATCCGACGGGTCGTGGCGTAGCACATACAAAAGTTCTTGGACACACACGACTTGGGTGGGGTCGTCTTGGGGGTTGGCTCGCATCACCGCGACAATGCCTACAATACAGATCAATCATCATATTCCATATTGTGTTAGAAAACAATTACAACTCTACTAGGAGGACTTCACAGTGTACATTTGTAAGCGCCCATCCAATTGAATTAGTACTCTATGGCATTTACATCGCTAGTGATACAATAATGTGTCCATATTGTCATATATATCGATACTACATTCCACAATGGAAGCATACCCAACGAGTTTGTCTACATTCAACAAGGTGGGGCAAGAAATGCACGATGGTTTGTGCATGTACGAACCCCCGGTAGTAGTACTCCTACTACTACACGTTAACATATATAAATGCATGCCCGTACCGTCGACATCGCCGCGGTCAACACCAAACGTGCTCAGCGCTTGGGCCTAAGTACAAATGGATAGATATGTGAACGATAAAGCGTCATATCGAGTAGCACTTATGTTTGGACGAAATCGTAAACGCACCGATTGCAAAGCCATGCCCGTGGCGTCCAAGGTGGCCAGGCTGTCCTTTGGACATGGTCCGATGGACGACGCCTTGATGCGTTCGTGCTGCTGCTTGGGGCGAGTTGAAGACGGCGCTTGGGATGATGTCTTGGCATTTTCCATTAAGCTGACGTAGAAGCCCCCGACAGACGAGATGGAGGGTTTCGATGAGTTAACGCTGATGTGGTGGTGGTCGCTGGGAGAGTTGGATCCGCTGCTGCCTTTCTTCCTGTACAGACCACCCATGACTGATCGCGCGCTGGAGCTGTAGCTTGTTGAGATTTCCGACGCCATATCGTTGTCTCAAACGATCCACCTAGTTGTTTTAAAGTGGGGGCTATTTTAAGCAAGTTCCATTTAAGGGAACTTGCTTGAGCACTTGTTGAGTGAATTTCTTGCGAGCACAACTTATTAGAGTTGGAGTACATTGGTAGCAGGATTTCCAGTTTGGGTTTGATTATATGGGCTGAAAAGAGGGACAATTGGTGTCAATCTGCCGCCTCATTGTCGCTCGCTACGACGAATAATCGCTTAACGTTACGAGAAAAGCGTGGATCTATTTTTAGCGTGGCAAAACTTCCAAATGAAGTGTTGATATCAAGCTATTTCAATGAGTATTTCAGGTAAATCAATTGATGTAATGCAAAGTTCGGCCAAAATTCGGTTATGAACCGTGGCAAGCAGCCAATCACAGGCCAACGCCACTTAAGGCTTTGTCCACAAATAGGAGGAAAAATACGTTACATCGCAATCAAGCCAAAATCCTACTTCCTCCGTTCAGGAATACTTGTGTGAACTTTTTTCATGTAGAATATATAGGCATTTGTATGAAAGATTCGGCCGAAACCATAAGTGGGGTGTATTTTCATTCAAAAGCCAAAAATTACGACAAGTTACTGCATGATGTGCTGTTTACATTGGATGTTACCTAGAGACTTTCAAGCCTCGTTAACAATATTCAACGCTGAGCCAAGCATGCCCACGATTTCGTCAACGAGGTGCTCATCGTCCAAACGAGTCTCTAGAGTCTCGAGGGCAAGCGTCACGTCTTCATCGCATGGAGGTCTCAATGCCACTGTTTTCCACTGTTTCAGACTTCAATTGCATGTCCTTCTTCAAATGCGGCAGCTTGTAGACGTTGTCACCTTCCAACTTGAACGCTTCTTCCATCACCTTTTGTAATGTCATAAAGGTCTTGTCCAAGACTTGGCCTGCCACAGGTTAAAAATGCGTCTTGAACGGACGCAATAAGTTCATATATTGTCCGCACAGCAGTCTGGTGCTGCAGACTTTGGATAGCGTTGAAGAAGCCGAGGTCCAGGACGTTGAAGTCCGGACTCATCGCTGGTTGTGCGGTCAGCTGTATGTTCTAGTCGATCTTGCGACCGGCAGCCAACACCTCTACGTCGTCAACAGCAATATGGGGTCGCGCGTTGCCTTGCTGCAGGTAAATTGTCCCACCACGCCGTCCTGGCCACTTCGCTAGAATCGCTGGAATCACCCTGTCAACAAGCAGTCGACGGTAGATCGGCTTCGTCACAGTCATGGGGACAGTGACAGGCGTGCCACGGTCACAGTTCTTGGTCCGACGTGCTGCCTCCTTGGTTTCGACGATGGGCCACAGTCCAATCTTGCCGTCCCACAGAACGTGCCGTCGAAGTCAAATCTTGGTCGCGCAACTGCACATAAAAACATTACCTTCGTGATGTGGCGTTTAGATTGAACTTTGCGTTGGGGAATGGGCTCATCGTGCCAAAGGTAGTAACGGCGGTTGATTTGAGTGATGTAAAATCACTTCACTTCAAAAGGCACACAGTCCAACATATCATGCCACACACGAGATCCACCATGACCCGCACGCACAAAGGTCTTTACGAAGTTAACCGGCGGGCGGATTTTTGCTTGGCAAACAACATCGGCTTTACCCGGCTCGTGCGGGGGTGAAGCATGTTTGCCTGGAACAGATTCCACAGCGACGTCTTGTGTATCTCGGATGAAGCCGCTAAAGACCGGAAGTTGGCTCGTCGTTGCGTCGGTACACTTGTGACGATATCACGTACGCTGGCCCTATCGTACTTGCGAGGCGCACCACAGCGGCCTTTCTTGACGCAACCCTGGCGCATCCTGTGTCAGCAGCAGTCTGGCACCCCCCCAGCCAAATGCGGGATATGGTTTGTTGCGAGACATTGAACGTGCGCATGATCTCCTTCATGTCCCCGGAACCAACATGACCGTTCTTCTTGAGCTGAAGAAGTCGATGGTACAACGCCGTTTTTTGGTTGTCCGCTAGTTCACGACCGGTCACGGTCCTCGCCATGCTCAACGTGCGTTGAAGGGCTTCCAGAACGTTTTCTGTACTAACGCTATCTATGGGTCGAGAACAAGCGTTTGCGCGTGATTTGAGGGCAGACGGATAAAAAATGACCGAGTTGGCTGTCCATTGAGCGCATTTGTAAGACTTTTCGAGATTTCTTGACTAAAATATGGTTTTCGAAGCAACTTCACACATGTATTCCTGAACGGAGGAAGGTCTACGTAGTACTTCGAAGTACTACGTAGTAGTATCCTCACGCCAAGTGAGTTTTGAGGATACTCGTACGGTATATGCCTCGACGAAGCTGCGGTGCAAGCGGCAAGTATTACAGTACAGAACTCATTCAATATGATTGGCTGAGTTTTTCATTAAAAATCCACCCGCACCCATTTCAAATGTTCACCATAATATCATTTGAGCTTCGTCGTGATATATACAGTATACAGCCATGTTAAGTTGGTGTTTAGTTGAGCAAATTGTAATTGTAAAAAATCTTTCACTCAGACTTTCTTCTTTGTCATCTGGAAAGGAACTCACATTAAATGCTTTTAGCAACTCGGAATTCGGCCAAATTCCTGAAATCTTCGTCCTTCGATTCTTCGAAAAAAAATCGTGAGTGGAATATCAAAAACCGCGTTTAGCTTCAATGGAATTTCGAACTCCTGTACGAACAAGAAATGCAAGTTGGTACTCTGAGTAGAATTGAGCAGATTGTTACCGATTGATTGAATGCGTGAAGCAACGTTATGGTCGTGTTCCGTCCACCTATTCTGCCTACCTATCATCACTGGTGCCTTCGATCTGCCCATCAACACCCTCTACGTCCCTCGACTTTATTAGTCATTCATCAACTCGTCATCGAATAGACACAACTCCTGTGGAGTCCCTCATCGCCTACAGCAACCAGCCGCATTATGCACTCTACGAACTCTGTTCCAACTTCACTGTCAGCCCCTATGAGACCATTGTTTCTCTACGCTCTACTCGCCAACCGTGCCGACAACAGCGAACCCAAAGCCTGACGTGTTGCCATGTCGCGCCCCGACATGCCCAATGGCTTCTGGCCACCAAGTTCGAATACGAGTATTTACACTGTCAATACGAGTGTTTACATAGCCACTACATATTTGGCCGCAATCGGTACACATAACCAACATTTGGAAGCGTACGAACGTGTCCCTGTGTGGTGACCTACCAAGGCGCAAAATGATATTCGAGGGCATGTCGAGCCTACACAGGGACGACTTGGTCGCAAGAAAAAGTAGACGGACCTGCCAGCACACATCCGAGCAGTACAGAAAGCATTTCGTACAACTTTGATGTACTGTACGTTGCTCATGCAGTTGACGTGCCCCCGTACGTTAAAGGATTACTACAAACGCGGTCAAATGGTAAAGTACAATTGAAACATCAAGCTGAAACTAATGGATGTCAAGTAAACGACCCGAGTGAAGTGGCGGATTGATGTCAAGTAAACGACTCGAGTGAAGTGGCCGATTGTTTTCGCAGGGAGAATGCCCAAGGTGGATGGTTCGATTGCAAGACCGTCTGACAACGTCATCATGTAGCAAGACAATGCCCGTTCACATGTGAAACCATGGGACGGAGGCCTTGCCTGTTAGTGCAACATTGATTGCATCGTGCTAAAACGTAGATAACGACATCTTCGCTCAGTGGTACTTGGTCTTTGACTTAGTATGGTAAATAGAAATTTCGAGGTTGACTTTTGAGTGTAATGTTATTGTGAGCGACTTGTTGTTTGTAGTGTTGTACCATGTTATGTTTGAGCACACTGGGTGAAGATTTCCGTCGTTACCTGTACCGTATACAGTATGAAATGAAGAAATTAAAAAAGGGCCCTCAACAACCACACCCTTGCAAGAAACGAGCAGAATGAAGAGATTCGATAACAATCGATGACATGGGCGAAGGCTATGGCTCCCATGGACATAAGAATTGTATTCTGGAGTTCATGAAATCTACAGATCCAAACAGTGGCTTCGGCGTCTTTGTACAGTCCAAGGTTTACACCAAAGATTTCCTCATGGAGTACAGTGGAAAGTACTCCAAGACGTGGCTAAACCCTGTTGATAAACAGTACACTGCTCGTTTGCTCTCCAACAGTGATTGGATTGTTGGAATACGGACACCCAAAAATATCTTTTCTATGGATCATTTGTTAACCGCACGGATGAGTTCATAGACAAGAACTGCGAATTGTAGGAACAAAAACCGCAAGTTTGTACGGGTCATCAAAAACATCAATGCCGGGAAGGAATGACGTGCCCTTCGACGACCAACCCATGGACATCAAAACAGTAAGTAGGAGTATTCGAAGCAATCGATGATTACTGCATTGGAATCAAATATGGCGGTATATTGACGTCCAAATCCAACCTACAATGCGAAGAAGTTTGACCTGGGCGTTGGTGGCTGTCACGACAAACCGTTCCATCGTCATAGCGTGTTGCACCGATCAGGACTGCGTGCAGGCTTGACGATTGAGCAAACGATTCGAGGCGAGATGTATGTAGATAGAAACCAAACCGGTTCTGTTTAGAACCGGTTTGTTCCCAAGGTGCTCTTCGCACGGGAATGCAACAACGACGAGGGACCGGGGTGATGTGGAACCAACCATGTCGTCGTTGTCTCTCATCTTCTTGACGTAGAGGGTTCAGTATGCCATAGTACGTGCGACTGAGATTGATTGTCGCTGTCCTTACAATGCGTGCTCAAGGGGTATGTCACCACGCGTCACGCACTACTCATCACGGTTGCCAACGATGTATGTGTCCAATCGGGTGGTTTTTTTAGAAGCGATTTCTCCATGGACACCACAGATCCCTCAACGAGAAGCCAAAGCGTCTCAAGGGTTCGGAACGCAGAGGATTGAAACAGCGTGAGAGGGTTGTATTGCACCATGGTCAAACATGTCGTTGAACAGCACTTTGACGGATATACAACATTGATAAAACTGCATTTCGTTCTCGATCGAAGCACTCGTACCATGTGATGAGACAACGGGTGGACCCAAACGATACTTCAAGCGTTTCACCCTGGTCGCTTCCGCAAACGCTTGTGGGGATGGTATTCGCCACAGTTCATTTTTCCTGGACAACGTGACGTGTCGGCTACCAGTGATATGTCCTCACATGTTTTTGTTGCGTGGTTCAAACTTCCTATAAGCAGTTAATAACGGTGGCAAGAATATTGTGTACGATGGAGAAAAAGAAGTGACCAATGTGGGATTCGAACCCACGCCCTTTCAGACCAGTGCCTTAAACTGGCGCCTTAGACCGCTCGGCCAATTGATCAACGCTGAAGTATACCTCGTTTTCACAAGCCGTTTTCACAATCCATTCTACTCGGTCCTACAAGAAAGATCACATTTGCTTTTTGGCTTAATGTCGCTGTTTTGACTTGATTAAAGTTTGAGCATGTCGCATCACATGGATAATATCATTCAGATACATCGCAGGAAAACGCACTGGTGTTCTCACGTCCACATATTTGTTCGCAAATACGCTGTTCGCGGTTGCGACACGAGTGAAACCACTGGTAGCTACGCTTCATTTAACGTGACACAATTTTCCCCATTCAAATTCGTATTTGAGCTCAGAATATACAGCTGCTGTCATTCTAAACATAAAGTCAATAGCAACATGAATGTACGGTTTTAACGATGTTAACGTGGATTTTGCGAGGCCGACGGGACTTTGATTCCTAAGATCTGTGATAAAAAAGTTTGTAAACCCATATTTTTTGAAGGATGTCGAATCTTTTTAGTGAAAAAGTCTAGAAGTAGCCTGAATCAAAATAGACGATTTGCACCAAGCAGAATCGTACATTCATAAAATTTGATTTTTTCACACGTCCTTGAACCAAATCTGACAATTCTTGTTGGACAAAGTAGTACACGCCTTGCGACGCCCATGGCACTACAGTTGTCTTTGTGCTCTTCTGAACCTGCTGGTTCTATTTATGACCCAACAGCACACCATCGTTTTTTAGCGTGTTGCTCGTTTCCCTTTGCTACCACGTCCTACATCACAATGGAGTGTTTGAGAGTGTATACATCACCGTTTATGTTGTTCGACGCGTTGTATGCGAAAATCCAACTCAACACTAGACATGACCTGCACACTTTACCATCTTTTGAATTATTTGCATACCTCCATATTGGCCGCGAATTGTCGTCGCCTTGAAAAAAGGCGGCTACACTGGTTGGACGTAATGGATGGCATGTCCTGCCACAGGTTGAAACTGCCACGTCAGATTTCGATGCAGTAGCATTAAGACCGATCAATGGACAAATTCATTAATACAAACTGCTCATTTCCTAAATTCTGACACGTTTGGGTGAGTGCTCACAGGCAAGAAATCTTTAAATTACAGCATTTGGTTAAAATAAACCCTAAATCAATCGTTATGAAAAAACACATGCTTCGTAGGGGAATGAAATGCAGGCGTAAGTAACATAACTAGAAACCGAATTTTAAGCGGAGAGAGCCACTGATGTATCTACATTTTGCACTGATGTCACCATACATTTATCAAGCACGGTAAGTCGCGGATATTTTTCATGGGAGGAGCATCCTTATTATAACGGAAACTAGTTTGATATTCAATGAATACAATACAAAATAGTATCACCAGGAAGTCCGAACCCGGCGCTATTGAGTTTCGCGCAAAGGCAAGTTGAAACGTGTCAGTATTTAGGAACAGTGTAGTATGTGCAGGAGTGGTAACAGACAAGTTTGGCGTTCGATTCTTGTCGGCAGTGTATGTATCGATGTTCTGTCTAGTTTGGCTTAGGAGGTTCTACCGAAATACTCAATTCAAGATTTAACTGTAAAGTACAGTAGCTTGGGAGGTTCCACCGAAATGCCATAACTCAATTCAAGATTGAACTATACAGTACTGTAATTCTATCCGAACGACACAAATCAAGTTTGAGCGGCAATCACTGTGCGGTTTCGATGAAAGCGCTCACGTTTGGGACC